ATGCCCGTGGGATGTCCCACCCTGCACAGGGGCTCCCACTGCTGCAGAGAGTGGCTGGAAGCGGGGAGAGGGGACACTTTCCTCGCTGTAACTCTCTTTGTCTGTCTGTCTGGCTCTCCCCAGGTATGATGAGGAGCAGAAGAAGTGGGAAGGGGTTCTCCGGGAGATCCAGTACGCCTCCGGTGCCACTTTCCTCCCTGTGCGCCTCAACGTTCTGCGTCTCACAAAGATGTGAAAAACTGGGCATTTTTCCATGAAGGGGTGGGGGGATGGTCTGGGGCAAGGAGGGATGAGGGGAGAGAGGTGATGCTTGTCAGGGATGTGGCATCTGGATACTGTGTAAGGACATTGCATCTGAGATTGGGACTTTTTTACTTCGACAGCAAACGGGGGAAATGACCTTGAAGCTCTGTGGGAATTTGAAGATGCTCTCCAGGGTAATTAGAGGAGGGATATGGAGCCTGGAAGGAGCTGGGAGAGGCAGAGAAAAACAGAGCAATGAGTTATTCCTGTCTCAGTAGACAGGACAAATAGAATTTTCAATTCCTTCTTCGTGTTTTCCCCCATCTTTTCCAGCGCTGTTACATCTCCCTTACCAAGAGCCGAGGCACAAAGTGGGTCCCAATGGACTAAATCAACATTCCCCAGGGAAAAGGGTCTATAAAATAATTCCCCACCTAGGCTGTGAGCACGGTGCTAGAACCCCCCCTTGGAGAGGAGAAGGAAAGGCCAAAGTCAAGTAGTGCAGGAGAGAGCTGGGTTGGAATTTGATGAGTTCCCAAGTGAGGAGGGTTGTTGGGATGAGACAGTTGGAAGGAATCAGCGTGTGAGCAGCAGAAATGCTGTGAAAGTTGCAGGGGGAAGAAAATGATCAACTAATCTTTGTTCCTTGCCTCCACCTGGACTTTGGAGCGAAGAGGGGCCGGGAGTTGAGTCTGCAGGAGAGGAGGAGTCGTGCAAGTAGTAGGGTGGGAGAGGGGGAGAGATGGGCAGGGGAGGCCCTGAGTGCTCATCTCCAGCCTTTTGGGTTCCTCATCTTCAATCCCAGATCACAATGTCCTCACCTGTGGATGGACAAGTGCTGGTTTTTTTTTTAGGGAAAGGTTTTATATTTTTGCTGTTTCTCTCTTCTTTTTAACGGTCAACCCTTTTTTTTTTTTTTTTCTTTTTTAAGAGTATTTTACTGTGCAGATGTGTTTGGCTCAAAGAGAGCTTCCTACAAGTGAAAAACGCATATTTATTTTAAAGTTATCCGTGATGATGTTTTGATAGGAACACGGCTGTAGTGGCAGCAGGACAAAGATCTGCTAGAGCAAAGATCTCTTGATGCCCAAAACCTCTGACCAGTGGTTCTTTTAAAAATAAATGTGGCTGTTTCAAAAGAAATCCCCTGTGCCTGCGTGTTGGGAGAGCTGGAACGTTCACAGCAACCAAAGACCAAGCAAAAGTTGTGATGAACACAGCCAGACCCATCTTTTATTGTGCTTATTTCCCCCCATTTGAGAGCTGAAACTTTAGCTTTGTATCCTTAAAGATCTTCTCCATGGATACAAGGATTAGCAGCTTACCTAGGACTAGAAGGAATTTGGATATCTACAGGGACCAGATTCTGGTGCTACAAATCATACCTGGCTGATTGATCTGCCTCAAAATGTAGACATGGAGAAACTAAAATACGTTTGGAAGGAAAGAGAGGTAAAGCAACCAGAGAGAGCCTTGTCCTGGTTTCATTTTAAGGATTTAAAAAGTTACAGGATAAGCTCCTTAAGAGGACAAAAAGTCACATCAGAACAGTAATGAAGTCTTTTCACAAGAAAAAGAAATCCAAGGTGACTGGCTGTCACAAAATAGCTTTAAAGGGTGAAA